CATAGATAATATTCCATTAATATCCCATGAATATCCTATGATTATCATAGGTAACATGGAAAAATGGAATATATCTACTAAAATTCTATTCATACCTATGAATGGAGAATAAGAGATAATCCGATAATCCATTAATATGCCATAGGTAATATATCTTATACCAGTAAGGTGGAAAACATAATGAAGATAGACCACCCATGACTGGGACTGGTAACCATACCATCTATAAAAATGGTGATGACTGGAGGATGGTTCATTATTGTTTTACCCACATTATAATAATCATAATACCCTCTGGAAATTTAACATATGGAAAATGGCCCATAGAAAAAGATGATGTTTGACAAATTACCTATTAAACATGGTGATTCTCCAGTTCCCTACTTTAAAAAACCAGAGCGCAATGTCGACATAAACATCAACCAAACCACCAACGTGCCAAACGTGTGATGAGGATAACAAAAATATCTCGTGAAAACGTGGAGATTCAAGCAGCAATGGTTTATTAACGGGATATGAACAGAATTAACAAAATAAACCATATCCCAGATGCTCCATGTATGGAATATGTACCTACATTTACCCCAAAAATCGCCCAAATGTAGGTAAATATACCATACATGGAGCATCTGGGTATTGATGTTGGGAATGGTATATTGGTTGGTGGTTGACCTACCCCTCTGAAAAATATGAGTTCGTCAGTTGGGATGATGACATTCCCAATTGAATGGAAAAAATAAAAAAAGTTCCAAACCACCAACCAGTTTATTAACGGGATATGAACCATATTCAAATTGAATATTTAACAGAATAAACCATATAATTAGTTCAAACATATTCAAATTGAATAAGGCCTCAACTTGATTCAAGCAACAGAAATGGGACACATGACATGTGAAAAAGGTCTCAATTGTTACTAAGATGGAGATATGAAGCATTTCGTTGGTGGAAATTAAGTAACCAACCTCATGGCCTATCTAAGAAACGTTTTCATAGAACTGATGGACTTAGTAAACCTATAGATATGGAAAATCCACAAAAGATATAGTTGGTTGCAGGATATATAAATAGATAGAACTAGGATATTATAGACTAGAACTGTATCTAGAACTATTCTGGTCTAAAATAGAATTATTTTACAAGAAAATCCACAATTATCGTAGACTAGAACTAGGATATATATATAAATATGGACAGTCTTCTGGTGAAAAGGAGACACGCTGGTTTTCCATATCTATGTTAGTTTACCTCACGGTAGCTGATACAACATCCAGTTGATGACCCTTCGAAAACAAAATCCAAGGCAGAACCACGGGTGGTGGACGGCTAAAAGTCGCCCATTCGGTGGATGTTTTTTTTTCTAGCGGGCCAACCGTCATATTATTTGGATGGGTTTCCATGTGATTTAGGTTCTTCTGAGATATCAACAATATAATTAATTAGTAACCCCCAAAAAGGATACTAGAAACGAATTCTACTAAGTTGTTTAATTATAAGCATCATTTTGGGGGTTTGGAGGGCCCACAGTGTAGTTGTTAGTTATTGGTTTCAACCATTTCACATCTTCTTTGCCGAGCAAACTCTAGCCCTCCAAGTTCCAGTTTCCGACCTTCTCCATCTGTAGTTTCCATGCATTACCAGCCAACGCAATCAACGCACTACATTCAACACAAGGTGACTACATCCAACGCAGTGCGGTTCCAAAAAATGGCGTCAGTCTGCAGAAACTTTTGCTGGAAAGGATCTGCATCTAGGGACGGAACATTCGAAACCATTTGAGTATGGAAAATCACCATGTTTAATGGGAAAAAATCCCTATACATGGCCATTTTCAATAGCTATGTTGGTTTGCCAGAGGCTAGTTCTCTTCTTTGTGGCTTCGGATCATCACCTATTCTTCCAATGAAGCCAAGGCTGTATTACGTGAACTATGGGATGGTTTTCTAGTGAAAATTTACACCGGAAAGCCCTTGCTTTTTTGGCATGGGAAAAACCATGGAAAAACCGGTGAAGATTTTCCCTGGAAAAGCAATTACCAATGGATTTTCCTGGGGATGGACTGCACAACGACATGGTAAAATTGCTTCAGGAAATCCGTTATTTTTTGAGGAACAAAAAAAAATTGGGATTGGCTTCAAATATCTTCAAATAGGGTAGCCCTAAATTCCGAAATCCATTGGTCAATCATGATGTTCCCTAAAAATGGCTAGACATTTGGGAGTATACGGCATTTTCAGACAAACCCAATTGAAAACTACAAGGCAAAATTGATGGCATGCTTGCTACGTTATCTCTGTAGCCTCCCACATCTCCTCCCCATCTCAGTCCGCCTGGCGTAGGTAAGACATCACTGCTTCTTGTAGGAAAAAACACATATGAAAACACGAGAGAATGGTTACCCTCTGGTAAACTAACATAGCTATTGAAAATGGTGATTTATAGTGGTTTTTCCCATTAAAAATGGTGATGTTCAATAGTTATGTTAGTTTACCAGAGGGTACCCTGAGATGGAGCAGAATATCATTTTGACACAAAGCATTAAGCATCCCCTAAAGTTACCATGGAACCAACTTGATGACCAGATTAGAACACGAAAACCAGCTTTTCCAAACACCTTGTCTTGGTTCCATGTTAAAATTAGCTTGCATGTCAAAATCAAATATCAAAGTACACAAAAAAACAGTCAACAATGCCAGGGTTTTACCAAAGAAGGACAAACACCCACTACAAAGTCTAACTTCAAAGCTGGCAAAGGTACAACAATGTGAGTGACCTGAAATCTGTTGCTTTCTTGCAATACCATATATTGAAAAAAACACAACAATCCAATGAACATTGGACTGGCCCAGTCGTTGTTTATGAGCAGCCCAACTGTCGGGAATAAATGCATAAATTGAGATATTAAGCTCGGCTGATCATCCATACCTGTGCTCTGGGTGGATCTAGCTTGGTCGTTTCAACCATCCTGAATAACATGAAAGTCGATTGGGAATGACATTGCCAAATCCATAGTTGATTCCTGTTCACAGTGGATGAAAAATCACGTGTTTTTGGTACCCCATGCCACCTAAAACATCCTAAAACATCCTAAGGGACATCCCCCCCTTGGCAGACCTGTTCCGTCGCCAGCTGCCGCGTGACGGAAGGAATGGCTCGAATCTGGGAAAAAACAATGGAAATCAGCCGGACATATGCTGACTTTGTCTAAGACTTTGGTGTCTGTTTTCTTTGTGTTTCCTGACCTTTGCAACTCATGTTGTCGCACAGCAAGTAGAAGGACGGGATCTGAATCACACCTGCTTTTTTTTTCAAGACTCCATGAAAAACTGCGTTGCTTCCATCAAGTGGGTCCCCACTACTATATCCCCAGCCACTTGAAATGTAGTTAACCATTGCACAATACATCTAGTTTCAAATTGGTTTTAAACCCCAAAGCCATGAGTTTTCAATCCTTGCTCCCTATCTGGATTATCTGTCTCGGCCGACACACTCTGATCTCGGAGCTTTCAAGTGACTTAAAGCCCTCTGCACAGTGAAAGCATCATGATATAAACATATTAAAGGATTACTGCAACAAGCCGGAGTCAAACAAATCATTAAATGGAACACCCGAGCTAAGAGGGACTAAGATAGCCCAAACACCGTCCGGATTCAAACCGCAAGTGGAAATCACCCTCGAATGGCAATGCAGCACCGCTGGACCAGACTGAACCCTCGGAATGTGCCACTTGTTAAAAGAATGGCAGAGTGTTTGGACCATAACTGGTTTGTGGTTGACCTACCCCTCTGAAAAATATTATTGTAATCAGTTGGGATAAGTTGGGATTATTATTCCCAATATAAGGACAAATAAAAAATCTTCCAAACCATCAATCAGATAACCTTAAAGATTCCCTCATGTATTGACTTAGTCAAACCATCGACGTGGCAAGGTAAAAGTGACTTAGTCGCTCAGTGGAACGCAGTTCGCATTTTCGCAGCGGCGAAGAGATTGGAGTCTTCCACTGAGCAGGTATCTAGACATCCGACTGATTGGGTCCATGCGAACTACCCCAAACCCTTTTGGATTGAAGAATGGGGTAACAAATAGATGGCAGACGCAAAATGATATCAATATGCCATCTATATTGTGGACAAATAATGTCAGCATATTAAATCGAGTTTCTGTTCATTTCAGCTATTTACTATGACGATATACTAAATATTTACTTAATAAAATGTTCACAAACATGGGTCCAGTTGATACTCAACACGATGCACAGTTGCAGTTCAGCACATATTTACTTGCACTGGAAGATCTATTGATTTTGGCGCGCTGTCCCGTTGACAGTGGAAGCATCTTCGCAGATTTGGATTTTTGGTTGTGTGTTATTAGATATACAGTTATGGCCATTTATCAGTTATAAGTACTAACAAAACCCCATTTATAGAATGTATAATCCCATTTATAACCACTTATAACTGGTAAATGGCCATAACTGTATAAACAAGGACCATCAAATCCTGCGTAGAAACCGTAGAAACAGAAATAAATGTGTAACCGACTAGACTGCCAAAAAATGTCTTGACCTGCTCATCTTCAAACTTTCTGATGAATTGTCTTCGTCACTACTCAGCTGGAAGACTCACAGCTTGCAATGTCGTTAGCATCATGCGGCAGGGTGACGCTTACCTCGTACCGCCCAAAAAACTGATAAATCCAACCTCGTCCTCAGCGCGGGTGATGTAATGAGTTCCCTAATATTGCAAAATAGGAACACCACGAAAAGCATCGAATATTTCATGGGTCACATGGTCAGATTAAATGCGTTTCAGCAAAAACCATTGTTCATCATAAATGAACACAATGCATGGAATATCGTTGAATCAAACGCAAAAAAAACTGACTGCTTCTTTTGAACTCTATGGTTATTCCAAACAAACGGTGGCTTTTTTATGACATGTTCTTTTCTACCACCCGTTTCACGGAGATTCGTCTTCTCGCCGGTGCCGTTACGCTGTTACTTGGAGGAGGCAATCCGCTCAGCCTGCAGTGAGGATCGGTTGGTGGGAAAGTGTCATGCCTCAGGGGAAACGAATAGGGGATGTGGTGACTTTAAGGCAAACATGGGGAACATTATGAATTTATGATAATAAGCTAATAAGATGGTTGAAATAACTATAGATTTAGCTTATGGTTTGTCGTACATAGATTTACAATTAGATAGGTGTGCAATTAAAATGTATTAGCAAACAATAACACAACCAAACAGTTAAGAACAATGTGAATTCCCAATATCGTTTGTAGTTTCCTCGTTGTGGTTGACTTAAAAATACGGGATTAGATGGTTAAATGGAATCGTATTTATGAACATCCATTTTTGTTGAGTAGGTTTCCATGGTTCTTCTCTGGAGTGTATACAATCAAATATATTGAATAATTATAAGCACTATATGATATCATGTCATTCTTACAAACAAACACCTCGATTTGCCCGCAGCCCTCTCAAAACACTGATATGAGTGTGTCTGGAAATTGGGTATACCCGCAATTATAGCCATTTAATAGCGAAAATGAGCATTAACCTTTGGCGTTAGGGGTAATTACACTATTTTCAGACAAATCATAATTCTATATATATATATATAAGTACTCTATGTGATATACCAGATTAGAATATCTGGATCCTTATCAGTATATATATATACATAAATATACATATATATATATATATACCCTCTGGTAAATTAACATAGACCCTGAAAATAGCCTAGTTTTAATGGAAACTAATCTTCCAACCCCTATCTGCCAGGGTCTATGTTAATTTGCCAGAGGGTATATATAATCTAATGATCATCCCCCATCTTTCACCTTCCACATTTCCTAAAAATCGCATCGCCTGCACTTTGAGCCGTGAAAAATCGAAGCTCTTCGGCGCAGCGAGCTGAGTTGCCTCCCTGTGCAGGACCCAGGATGGCGGAATGCTGGGGAACATGGGCGGAGAACATACAAAAAACTATGGAACATCACCATTTTTTTCATGGGTAAATCAACTATAAATGGGATATGTTCAACAGATAGTTAATGGAACCCTCTGGTTATGACTAACAGTTCGCCATGGTATAGATGGCCCATAGAAATAGATGATTTTCCCAGCTAGAAACCTCCATTAAGGGAAGGGATTTTCCATGGCTGTGTTAAATAACCAGATGGTAATTCAACCAACAACAACAGAGAGTTACTTGATCTATACTGTGTAAGCTGGTGTAACACTAGACTTTCTATGGTTTATGGAAGATGCATCTATAGTTTGATGGCTTTATGCACCCACTTATAACCCTGGCAGGTGCAATAGGACATTTTCTGCATTACTTTGGTGACTTGGTTTTGTTTTGGTTCTGAATTTCTTTCCATGTAGTTGTAGTCCAAAGGAAAACCAGCAAGAGTTTGGTGGACCATATTGAAGTAACATGATAGACCATGATAGACCACATCCACTTTTGGTAAATATGCCACACTCAGAGCACTCGGGTGGGCTTGCCTCGACTCCAGCTGTAACTTTGAGGGATGAAAGTCCCATTTTCCCGCGAGGTAGGGATCTCCAGTTGTGGATCTTGGTTTTTGCCCCACCCATTCAAGTGCAGATATCATAAAACCACCATTGTGAACCTAGTTATATACCAAGTTGGCAATTGACTGGTGGTAAAATAACACTGTAGGTTTTAGAGCGATGCTTATCTGAGTTGTGGTTTCAACCAAAGAATATGACGAATACCGAATACGAATATGACGAACAAATAACAGTCACTTGAAATCGCCGTCCCATTTCTTGGATGGAAAATAATCCGTGAAACCACCAACCAGACTAATGTTGATGAGACGTTTGTTCATATAAGGGGACCCGATTCATTTACTGTAGGCTTTTGATATTTGACGGAAGAAATTATATCTTATTTTCCCAGATTACCTTCGAAAAAACTTGGGAAACCCGTAGATTTCTATAGCTATGTTTAATGCAATATGTTCAGATGTTCCCATTGGACATAGCCAAGCGGCACATGGGTTATATGGATTGTATGGCTAATCTTTCCCAATACTGGTTGATTTATTCCCTTTTGGGGTATGAAAAACAAAAACAATCATAAAACATACAGTTATGGCCATTTATCAGTTATAAGTACTAATATATAACCTCATTTATAAAATGTTGCTCATCCCATAGATTTATCACCACTTATAACTGGTAGCCATGGCCATAACTGTAGATGATATCCCGTTAACTAGAAACCATCCATGGTTTTATCACAGGGGATTTTCCACGCATAGCCAAGCGGCAGCGGCGACGATTGAAGCGAATCGGGGAAGAGAAATGGACTCCTGGCCGAAAGCTGGTGACCCAGTGAACTGCTAAGTTGGTTTATAACTATAGTAGGGTTTATAGTAGTGGAATCTAACAGGGTTTGTAACTAAAGTAGCATAACCAGGGTTTGTGATGGCTTATGGTAGATATAGATTAAAATATCATTGATTGGTGTGCAAACCAACTTGAAATTGGAGGCACCACCTTGTATGTTTGTCTGAAAAAATGCGACGCATAATTATCTTCCCTATTAGACGCCTATTTCCTATTTCGCGGTATGCCCTATTTTATTTCACTACTGTTGGACATTCCATTCTGGATAATCAAAAAAAAACACACCCACCTGAAACAGGTTTACGTTTGATTTCGTATCCCTTGAAACTATATATATATCATTCCAGTGACGCGAGGATCGGCGAGCTTCCAGGATTATCCCGCTATGGCCCCCAGTTTCGCGGGGTTTTGCCAGCTTTATCCTCTGGTAATTGAACAGTTTACGAACTGGAAGATCACCATGTTTAATATGTGAATATACGTGAATCAACGAAATAAGTTTTAAATGGCCTTCTTCAATAGCTATCTTGAATTACCAGAGGGTGTGATTCTGCAAACCATTGAACACATCTAAAAAAATAAAACCACATAAACTGGGAGTTGGCTGTAGAGCATCTGGATGATTTAAACGACAAGAAGGAGTCAGTCTGTCTCAGAATCACCTCATCCTGCTCATGTCCAAGACAGGAAGCCACACGCAGACCAAAATCAGTCAATAATCCCTTCCCCCCAATATTGTGCATCTCCTAAGCCATGGTTTACTAGGGGATTTACACATATTTGAGACCACACAATGGTGATGTTAATTCAGGGAATGGGATTGTCACCAAATTCTGTAGGCCATCTCAAAGTTGCTGGGCATAGCTTGACATCCCTTCCCTGTGGATCCAAAATGATATTCGTTTCAGATGGAATGTGAAGGCTTCACGATGAGGATGTGATTGGACCGTCCAATCATGCAGGAACAAAATGGGAGTGGGTCGCTGGCATATATATATAATATACATACATATATATATATATATAGATACATACTTAATCATACTTATATATATATATATACATATAACTATATACCAGGCAGTTACTTCTGCCCTCTAATGGAAGCCACTTAGACCCAAAGTGCCAAACGGTGACTTACAAGATCAATCATGTATACTGTATAAGTGACCTCGTTTCAAGAATCCTCAAGTGACCTCTTTGCCTGGCTGATCACATGATTTCTGCGTGTCACTGCGTGTCACTTGCGTGTCACTGGAGTTTCGAGGTGGGATGAAACGAGGTCATTTAGGACCCTGAAAAGGTCACTTAAGCCTTAAAAAGGTCACTTAAGGATTGGCTGTCTGCGTGTCACCTGCGTGTCACTTGCGTGTCACTGATGGGCCACTTTCTACGTTTTCCTTAACTGACCTCTGTCTACGTTTTCCTTAACTGACCTCTTTCCAAAGGCCACTTAGCAAAAAACACAAACAAGGTCACAAGGAATGGTCTGGTATATATATATATACATTATCATACGATATTATCACACTTTGCTTACTCACACCCATGGCTCATCCCAAATCGCACCCGATCTCGAGCGGTGCCAATGGAGTCTCCTGGAACGTTGAAGTTAGCGTTACCCTCCGGAAATCAAACATGGCTAGAATTTCATGAATTTCCCATGTATTTTAATGATGTTCCCAGCTATAAACCTTCACTTATGGATGATGTTTCCTTCAAAACCTCCGTTTATAGATGATTTTCCCATTAGATCCTCCATTTATAGAGGATTTCCACGGATTTCCCAGCTAGCCATGTTCGATTACCAAAGGGTAATGGGTGGACCATTGGAACAACATGGGAACCACGGCTGTGAAACACTCAGGCCTGGTTTACAGAGCTGATGGTGGGACATCATGAGTGATCCATTAAAAAAAACACACATCCACAATTTGTGGCTCATGAAATTCAAGCCACCCCTACTTGGAATAAAGTTATATCATGGCCCCCCAATGGTTGATGCTTGGATGTTTTTTTGGGAAGAACTGCTTGTACCTGATGTTTTCTTCAGGAGCTACCATGGTACACCCCAAACAATTCATCATGTTTGCTGAGAAATAATCTGATTTTGGCGGATCAATCATTGGAGTTCCAAGACGAATAACATACTAAAAGGATAGTAACAACTGCGAAAAAGGCATGCGGCCACCAAACGATAGCTAGGCTGGTTTATAAGTACGATTACGAGTTGGTTTATGGTAGATGTATCTATATGAGTTACCCTCTGGTCAACTAAGATAAATATGGAAAGTCAATGAACATCACCGTTTGTAAGAGGTAAAACCAACGAACTAAATTGCCATTTTCAATAGGTATCTTAGTTTACCAGAGGGAATGTGTATGCATCTTTTCATAGCGCAACAAGCATCTTTACCTTGGCTTGACCCGATGTTGAGAACCCTCTGCCCTTCCATGACAAAACAGCGGGGTAAAAACAGGATGAACCGGTCATGATGATAGTCCCCAACATGTGGGGCAGTAGAACACCCGAAGCCACCGAACCATTTGTTCATCAACCAGCCGTCAATTTCTCGATCATACAACCCTGATGTATCCAGATATTCTTGATAGTTACTACGTTGACATTAATATCGCCCTATGAGAAAACCCGAGATTCTGAAGGATTTGCTCAAGGAGCCCCCCAGCGAACGATAATCTTCAGCAATTCCAGGTATCTCATGGTGAAATCTCAAAAACAAACAAACAAACCACAATCATCACACAACCATGAAACTCTATAACCCCCCTATAAAACCCCTATAAAACCTCCATATTTCATAAGTAAATCTCATTTTTCATGGTTAAAACGCCATTCAAAAACGCCAATGAAAACCCAGGTTATTGATCGAGACCGGGAGCCCCCGGGAGTCCACCTCCACCCAGCGAGGTAACGGCACCGCCGAAGGTTCTGGGTTGCTCCTGGGCAATGGTCATCGTGTTGGTGGTGTCATGCGGCTTATATATATATATATATATCTGTTTATTATTAAGAAATAGGTAACATATATATATATATAGTATATAATACATGTATATATATATATATATAAATACACATACTATAATCTATATAGATATGTATAATATATATATATATATGTATATATGTACTTCACTGGGCTAAGAGTGTTAAAACATGTAATTTCCATCACGTTTCCCCAGGGCGCCGAGCACAGCGCAGGGGTTCTCAATCGGAGGATTCCCGACTTCGCCTGTGGTGCCGATCCCGAGCACCGATGTGGGCCCCCGCGTCGTGGATGTTGGTCTATGTTCACCCATTATATATATATATATATATTATATATGTATTTATATATATATATATTAAATATACACAAATATGCATATTATATTATATATATGTATTTATACATATATATGTGTGTATCAACCACGGACAATATTCAAGACCTAGTTCGTTGTAAAGCAACTTGGCGTTCGGTTTTGGGGAGCCACATTGTAAAGTATATCAACTTGGAAGAAAGGTTACAACTATAGTAGATCTCTGATGATTGCAGTTGTGGATTACCATTTGAAAATCCAAGTCTTTTCATAATTCAATCAGAAAACCTACAAGTATATGAAGACACATATCCAGATCTACCCTCTGGTAATCAATATTGCCAGCTGGAAATCCATCCTTTACTGGATTATTTTCCAATTGAAATGCACATTTCATTTAGGGAGTTCCCAGCTGGCCATGTTTCACTACCAGAGGGTAGCTCAGGAAAAACTGCGGTTTCTGACCTTTCTACTTTCCCCAAGGCCCTATTGGAGGAGGGCTGCATCTCCAAAAGGCGGGTAAAAATCTGTGTTTTCACCTCCAAACAGAGCGCCACTCCCAAACTTCGCCTGCTTCAGAGCTGCTATAGCCTTGGTACAAGAGTGTTTTGTGTGGAAGAGAGACCTCCCAAGCCATGGTCTTCTCTCAGCCATGGAGTGGAACAAGGTGAACATCTGATGTTCAAGTCATCCAAGTCTGGGATCTTAGATACAGCAATAACTGTGAAGATTGGTTAGGGCTGGGTATCAAAGATTTCCACATCAAATCGGCAAACAGTTGAAGTATGTAACTATCCTTTGGCTAACATTGCGTTGGTGAACGCAAGGTTCCTTCTCTGCCGTGCATCAGTTGCATTCAATCCAGTTGGACCATCCTCAACTGCTGGTGGTCGAACCAGGCGCTTACGTCTGGAAAAAGGACCTGCCAGGTTGCTATTGGCAAACTGGACTTTCCCCAAGGCTCAAGTGAAAGTCATCAGCGAAGGCGTACCTGATCCCAAGAGTTTCTTAGATCACTGCCTCATTGTCTGCCACCTTGTCAACAAGGCTGTCGAGAACTCTTCCATTCTTCACCGAATATCATGATAGCAGCTCTGATAGCCAATGGTAGCAAGCTACATATTTAGGAACATCACTAATAATTACTACCAAATTTCACCTTAAATCACCGTGTATATACTACCATATGCTACCATATGCTACCATATGCTACCATATATACTACCATATAACCATACCTATATTATATTACTAACATATCTAATACAGTGCTATCTGTGCCCATCTACTACCATGTATACGCATATATACATATATACACATATGCATATGCATATTGATGCAATATATATATATATATATATAGCCACTCATAATATATATATATATTAGTATATATATATATATACCCATAATATATATATATATATATATTCATCATGCAATTGTATACACATCACTAGACATCCATAGATGACCCATGGTTCCACTGGGCTTCCCCTACTGCACACACTGCTTCCTGGCGAGCTTTCAGTGGCACCTGGGGCTGGTGATGGATGTGAATACCCCAAAGATGGCATAGAAATTCACAAAATACCATGGGATACTATTATATATATACACATATGTTTATATAGTGTATATTGTATATATTGTATATATTGTATATATTGTATATATTGTATATATTGTACATATTGTATAGATTGTACATATTGTATATATTGTATATATTGTATATATTGTATATATTGTATATATTGTATATATTGTATATATTGTATATATTGTATTTATTGTATATATTGTATATATTGTATATATTGTATATATTGTATATATTGTATATATTGTATATATTGTATTTATTGTATATATTGTATATATTGTATATATTGTATATATTGTATATATTGTATATATTGTATATATTGTATTTATTGTATATATTGTATATATTGTATATATTGTATATATTGTATATATTGTATATATTGTATATATTGTATATTATATTATATATATATTGTATATATTGTATATATTGTATAGATTGTATATATTGGATATATTGGATATATTGGATATATTGTGTATAGTGTATATATTGTGTATATACATACATATATAATCATATATATATATATACATATATATATATATATATACATATATATATATATATATCCATGTAAGATTGGATATCCAGCTGAATTTCTGATGAATTCGGCATTCAAGATTGTGGTAGGTCGGATGGGAACAACTTAGGAATTGAGATTTAGCCACGAGAAATGTTTATTTCCATCAGCAAGGCCGGGTCGGCCCGCCGCCTACAAATCACGATGTGTGACTGGCAGCAACAACCCAAAAGCAAAGGATCAGGCACCTCGGCTTTTCCACGTTGCACGCCTAAGTAACTCAGGCAAGGTTCCACGCAGCTATGGCGTAGGCTGTACGAGCAGCACTGCCTTGCTATGCAAGGTTGGCTAAAGGGGTCCCTTGGACCAAAATATGTCGGTGCACATGTATCAATTGACGTGCTCACCAACTGACGGCAAAAAGAAATGATGGCTGAAGCTCAAACTCTTACATGCCCCAAAGACTGTTGCCAAAGGGTGAGTGAGCTTGTTGCAGCATTTGCACCACACTCAGCGCCCAATCAGATGGGGTAGAAGTTGTCACAGGCGCTGATTGCGTCATCCTTTCTTCCTTAGGCTTTTTCTTGGCGGCCACGAAGTTCGGGTCGTATTTGACATTCCACTGCTGCCCTCGCATCAAGAAATTCTTCATGAGTTCCTGGGCAGCTGGTTTTGTAAGTCCATCCGCCAATTGGGCGTCAGATGACACCCACAGCAACGGCGTCTTCTGCAAGCGAATGTTCTCCACCACCGCCAGCAGTTCGAGAGCTGAATATTTTTCTTTCAGCCCAAAAGCTGCGCTCGCTGTGTCGCCCTTCTGGACCGCATCGAAGACGCTCTTCGCATCGACGACCAAGGCTGCTGGAATCTGGCTTGTTGCATGGTGTGGTTCTCTCAGGTTGAGAGGGATCCCAAGCAATTCGGCCCATTGAGTCCTCAGGAACATGAAATTCCTGTTCTCCTTCCGCCAATGCCTGTATCTCGGCAGCGAGACTGGACCTGGCGATCCGTGGAAGACGTCCACTTCGCCATGCCAAGGGATTTACACATCCTCTCTGACCACTGAGCATTCCTTTGCAAACCATACCTGCAATGAATCCACCAGTTGATGATAAATCTGGTCTATTTCCAACTGCAGCGTCTGTCCAGCAAACGATGCCCAAGTCCCGGAGGTTCTTGGGGTTCAGCTGCTTGATATTCACAGAGATGTAGCGCTGAGCATAAAGTTCGCGACATAGTTTGTTGATCTGGTGCAGCACGTCCTTGGAGTCCAACGCATGGGGAAGCATGCTCTGCAGAAGCGAAACCTTAGCGGCATGCTGAGGAGCCGTCTGCAAGGCTCGCCATTGAGCGGCGCCCAACACTGCTCTTGCCTGTGCCAACTCAGTGGGGCTGACACCTTCTGCACCGGCGATGATGTCGATCTGCTTGATCTCGGTGCAGTACTCATCATGGCCCAACTGGAATGAGAAGTCCTCCAGTTGATCCACCATAACTCCACAGTGTTGGAAAGGTGTGTTTTCCCATGGTGACCACCTGAATGCAGCCTTGAAAGTTGAAAGACAGGCTTGCCATTCTGGATCGTTGTCGTCACCAGCGATCAGGAAATCGTCCACGTGGGAAGTAATGAAGCCACGGGGTTCTGCTTCAGGACCATGGCCATCCAGTACCCACATGCAAGGATCAGATTTCAGCTGTCGCAATTTGCAGCTCTCTGTGGCAACTTTGTTCACCTCCAGGAACCATTCGCGAGGTGCTGAGACCAGGCCATAAGCGGCCTTCAGCATTTTCACAGCTTGGCCTTGTGGAACTTGAAGGGCTTCAGCAAGCTCAGGCACCGGGATCGCAAAAATGTTGCGATCAGATTGAGTCGCAGTGCCCTGTAGAAAGGCACTCTTGGCGTCCGCCTTGACCAGCTTCCAGCGCTTTGCACAGGCCAGGCTTAAAGCCAATTGTCGCGACCTCCTCGTCAAAGTCGGTGCTGAAGTCTGAAGGGTTTCCAGGTCTGGGTCGGTGTAGCCCAGCAAGACAATTCTCGCCTTGCACTTGGCAGTAGAGGGATCTGAGGTGCTCTTCAAAGTCAAAACCCATCGCATCCTCATCAACCTGCCAGCAGGGATAATCCCTTTGAACTTTTGGCACACCTCCTCTTTGACCCATTGGTCCACCTCAGTCAGCTTCGCAGCTTGCATGGCCTCTCTTTGTTTGGCATCCAGCTTGTGCCAGGAAACTTCAGCTCCTTTCTGAACACTTTTCGCTGCAAATTTGCAGGGATCTTTCAAGATCTTCCGCCAGGCTGCTTCGTTCTCCGGGATGGGTATCTCCACACCGTAGACGAAGTCATTCTCAACCTTGCAGCACCAGTTGCTAGCTTCAATCAGCTCCTGGCGCTTGACATGCAGAGGTCGGTCATCAAGCTCATGTTGTCGGCGTTGACGACGGAAGGTCTCGTCACCAGGTTGGGCTTCAGAACCAGCAATCCTCTTCAGAGGGTTGTAATCCACATCCATCAGCAGGCGTCGGCCATCAATCACAGGCTCGTTCTCAGGATCTCGCCTCGCCGAAGACGAAGAGGGAAGTTCTGGTTGTAGAGCTCCTTCAGGTCGTAGATCTTGTCCAGGGAGTAGACCATCAGCTTGATCCATCTGAACTTCTTGAGGTTCAGGTTGAGGTGGAGGTCCAGGATCAGCAGGTCGTGGAAGTCGTTTCCGTTCCAACATCGCTGGTGTTCTGGACCGCTGTTGGGCACGACGTTGGCTCTTGTTGGGATTCTTCTCCTGGAAGTCACAGGTGTGGTCATCGTAGGCACCCTTTTGAATCAAAGACTCCAGGGCATTGCGAGTCCACGGCATTGTTGGGGCTGTGGTCTGCTCGGCAATCAGCCGTTCTCGCTCACTTGCATGTCGAAGTTGATCAAGATGAAATTTCTTCATCCTTCCCTGTGCCACTACCCAAACTGTAGATGCCGCTGTGCGACGGGTTCCTTCTTCTTGAACCCTCGTCTCACTCGCAAGGACTCTCCCTGGGCCATACCAACGGCTAATTCTCAACTTTGGTTGATCCACCAGCTCGTGAGCTGGGAAGTCTGAGGGCACCTTGTAGCGCTTGTAGAACACCAAATCTCCAGGAAGAAAACGCACTGAAGGTTTGCCACGGGTGTTGAGGGCCCGTGAAATCTTGGCCCGGGCATGGAGCTCAAGGTACTTCTTCTCCGCACGTAGTCGAAGTTGTAAGTTGTCAGACATGGCATGGTCTGCAGTACCTTCAGAGGTGTGAATGGCCACATTGTCAAGGTCATCCACCTGTCGTCCAAATGCCCATTGTGCCGGGGCAAAACCTCCAACTCTTGAAAGGTGGTTGTGGGCTGTCGTCATAGCGTAGACAGCTCTTCGGGGTGGAACATCCTCGTTGCGCAAAAAGAGCTCGATCTTGTGGCGCAACTCACCCACCATACGCTCCACATCGCCAGTAGCTTGGTGATGTTCGGCAGGAACTTGTAATAGTTCAATGCCACGGTCAGCGCAGTAGTCCGCCAACTCGGTTCCTCTGAAAGCACCTTCAAGGTCACAACGGATCCTTCCAGGGTGTCCAAAGTACTGGAACCAGGAGCCTTCAAGGCCCTCAATGACACTGGGTGTGTCCACGTTGGCATGGATGTCGGTGGTGTGAATCAAGAGCTCCGCCGTGATGGAGAAACCGCTGGCCTCGTCCAACATGACCAGAAAGTGGTGGACGTTGGTCCCATGCTTGAAGAAGAAAATGTCCATCTGGAGGGTGTTCCAAATCTTCTCCTCCTTTTCCAGAGATACCACCACAGATGGTTTGCTGAATTGGCCCTCTTGGCATTCATCACATTTGAGTTGTTCAGCGATGGCCAGCATCTTTGGGTCGGCGTTTCGAGCGGCCAAGGTCTTGACCAAAGCTCTGTTGCTAGGATGTCCACATCGTCGATGAAGCTTGAGCACGGTGAGGGCAAGTCGTTCGAGTTCTTGCGTCGTCATGGTCTTGAGCGACTCCCTGTCAATCTTCACGGAGTCCAGGGTGAAGATGGAGTAGTCGGTCTCGTGGTAGGACAGCATGCATTTGGCAGCTGCTGTGCAAAGTTGAACCGTGTAGAGACCTGTCTTTCTTGCTGTAGTTCCACCCATCGATGGCACATGTCTGTGGCTGCCATCACATTGTCGTTCCAGAGGATGGAACACACCATTGCGGTTTGTTCGCACTGTCCAGGGCTTCTTATGGAACCCTTCATGACATCGAAGGTTGAACATGCAGCCGTCGAAGTTGTGGTCCACAAAGTCCATCTGTTGCCAAAAACTTCGAACCTCAGACAAATGCCACCCATCATTGTTCCGTGGCCATTCCCAAGCCACATTTCCACCAGCGTTGACATAGTCCAGGAGGATCTCATTGCCGTATCTTATGAGCTTCCTGCACTTCTGCCTCCGCTTCATACTTTTCAACCATCCATCTTCTGTGAGCTCATTGAGGTGCTGAATGGGGCTATTGGGCCCGCACGGATAGGAAACCCAGATCCATCTTGGTTTCCTCACCTTGATGATCTCCTTGATCTTCTCGCGTCCAGAAGCTTTCATCAGGTCACAGCCGTTGAACAAACCAGCACGCTCAGCTCGGCCTCCAAGTTGTTGGATAGTCTTCGTGAGAAGGCTGTCCTCCTCGCAGCAAAGCTCCAGGACATCCAGCCTGTCGCATTCCCGCATGCCACCGCATGCATAGATCTCCTCATCCACGTCCTCGAAGTGCGTCCTGAGGACATTCAAGACAAAGGCCTCTTCAGAAGTGTCCAAGGCCCTTGGGACATAGTTCTCTGCAGGCATGTTCTCATCGTTGTTGTCCTTGTCCAGCATCGTCTCATCTTCCAGGATGAGCTCATACTTGGAGATCTTCTCATCTTCATTCACGGAGAAATCACCGCGATTGATGTCGGAGTTGATAGATCTTCCTCTCTTTGTTCTGCCTCCAACTCCTCCGAGGGGTTCATTCTGCGACCTTTTCGTCCCGGAAGCATGCTCATGGTCGGCCTCCTCCAGGTTGATCGTCATGGGTCCATTTGGCATGGTCGCCTTGGGCACAGCCACAGGAGTTGCCGGAGTCGGGTATCCAGGCCCCGAAGTGGAAGCTTGACCCTTCTCCTTGTTGCCCTTCTCCAGGTGATAGCCTGCCTTCTGCGCCTTGATCTTCTCCAACTTCGCCAGGCAGCTTTTCTCTGCGCTGTCCAGGCCAATGTCCTTGTCTCGGAGCTTCAGGTTGTATGGAGCCTCGTTGCCCAACTCCTCCACTTGCTGTTGGACGTCGGCTGGAAGTGCTCCGGCCTTTCGGCACAAAGCATGGGCTCCGAAGCTCGGAGTGTATGACAGGCGCAGCTTGCATCTGGCACATGAAGTCCATGTTCCATGGCTGTTGGATCCCGTCGGCGATCCACGGCCCGGAGGGGCAGGATCGTGAGATCCGTTGCACGGAGGGCCCGAGCAACGAGGATCCCTCTGGTCGGGACCTGTCGTCCTCGACCAATCGAATTTCTCGGCCTTGTCTTTGGCCTGCTTCTCGGCGCCCTTGCTCTGGTTCTTCTCCTTCGTCTTGCCAGTCGATGACATTGCACACCGAAGTGGTTGCTAAGAGCAAAGGGGCGCTTGCTAACCAAGCCAGTGTCCTGAGGGACATGTCCTGTTGACCAGGGGCTGCAGGATGAGATGGAGATAGATTCAACGGTCCATGCATAGGTTTGCCATCAACTTGACACACTGATCGCACGGCAAACTGTTCGGCTATCCAATCATTTCGTTCTGATTCTCCTAAATTTTTCCAAACTTCAATTTCTTCACTTGACATCAACTGCATGACAGCTTCATGTTGTAGAGGTGAATGTGGATGGTGTGCATGCATAGTTGACGTGTGTGACATGGAACTTGATGAAATAGTGTGATCACCATGTGCAGCATGTGGTGTGTTGTCCAACTCATTGACCATGTACGCTGCACCCACGGAGTGGATCTTTTTCTCCTCGACGTGAAAGTCGGTGTGGAAGAAGATTCGTGATCCTCCCTCTAACCAGTTATCACACAAGTCGATCAACAAATGACCTGTTGATGATTTCTTCAGTGGAATCATCAATGCAGCATCAACGGTTTTGAGGATCATCGTACTGCGACTGCAGTCAACTATCGCACCTAATTTACTCAGGCTTTTGATACCCAGCAGCAAAGGAACGCCTGGGGCATCCAGTGTGAAAGCTCCAAGTGCGATTTGATGTCTGCCCAGTGTCTGTGGAATCAAAACAAAGCTTTCTGATGTTTGCACCTGTCCATTTCCAAAACGAAAAACTTTTGGGGGCTTGTCCACAACATGTACTGGTTCAATACCAAAACGTTGACGTCTCTTGTTGATGACAAATTCCAAAGCTTCCAACGACGTGATGGTTTCTGTTGCACCTGTATCTAAAACTGCAAAACCTTCAAGATCTGGTTGTGCTACATGACCAATCATCTCAGTTACCATACCTGGAATGGCGTCATTCTGAGAGTCTGACGCTTGTGGCATTCCGTAGGAACTCCTGGTCGATGGACGGGGAGCAGGCTGCACCACATAGATGTTGTTCTGGTGGTGGCGCAGCGGCAAAGTTGAAGAACTGCCGCATCCCTTACCATCGCCCATGCTCGCCATGTAGACATTGTTCAGAACGTAGGGCTCTGCAGTCACATAGGGATTGCCAGTCGCCTCGAAGTTCGAGACATTCTGCACCATGTAGGCATTGCCTTTCCCTTTTGATTTGCCAGCTTGTTGAGATCGCTTGGGGCAAACTCGAAACTCATGGTCTTTGGAGCCGCAGATGAAGCATCCCGTGTAGGAAGGGCTTCCAACTGCCGCAAAGGAGTCAGCGACCATCGAAGATCCCGCCTTGCCACCCTTCTGAGTGGGGCGAGGTTTGCCCTTGAACTTGCCCTTGCCTTTTCCTTTGAAGGGATAGAAGCCTCGGTTGGATTGCCTCTGAAACACCAGGTCTCGAGACTCTGCAAAGGATCTCAACTTGCCTTCGTAGGCCGCATAGGCCTCTGAGAGCTCACGGCGTTGGTCATCCGTGAAGTAGGTCTGGAACTGCATGTTTTCCCAGTCACTCCAGGCCCAGTAAGCGCCTGAGGCATCAGCATGGTAGTACTCGCCAGTGTCCTGGTCCATCTCCCACCACGCATAGGAACCGTCAGGTTCTTGAAACCAAACTCCTCCAACATCATCTCCATGTAGTCCAAAAGTGCCAGTAGACGGAGAAGTCGAAGTAGTGCTCAGCACGCCATAGTTGCTTGCCAGCTCTTGCGTCCCACCAATCCAGTGAGCATCGCCCATCCAGTCCTCCATGTCTTCCTCTGTCGCGTTCAACAAAGACCAATCACCTCCATTCTCCATCCAAAAGACGGCACGTCCTTTCTTGCCGCCTCCCTTGGGGTGATGATCACGTTCATGAAGTCGAAGTTCTTCTTCCGCGCTTCTCAAGCCACGCTCAATGTCGTCGGCCTTCAAGGAGTTCCCAACACTTGACAAGATGTTGAGACGCTGCTGTGAACTCAAGGAGCACCGCCACAGCATCAGCCATCCAAGAAGTTCTTGAGGAAGTACATTGGGCAAATCACTGTCCAAGTCATCCCATAGTCGAACTCCTTCAAGAATATCCTCAGTTTCGGTCTCTGAGTCCTCCTCCTTCTTCTTTCTACGGCCAGAACCACGGCCCTTGCCCTTGCGCTCCAGCTCGGCCTCAATCTCGCTATCGGTCCTCTCAGGTGGTTCATCATCTCCTCCATGTCGGCCAGGTGAAGTCGGCAAAGGTGAGGTCGGTGTAGGTCTGGGCGAAGTAGGCTGTGGAGTGGTATCACCCTCAGGCTCCTCCACAGTCCGCTTGCTCGCTCGCCGCTTCGAAGAACTCGGTGAAGGTGTCCCCGATGTAGGAGGTTGAGATCTTCTTGAACTCCTTGGTGTCGGTGAACCAGGGTCTTTCGAAGGTGACAGCTCACCTCTCTCCTTTCTCGCACGCTTCAGAGCTCGCTGAAGTCCTCTATAAGTTTCCCGGACTTTGGTGCACCAGGTAGGCATCGACATGCCTTGGGGGCGTCGCATCCGAACAAAGAGCTCTTCTGCCTTCGTTCCTGCGTCGGGCACCGGCACATTCCCAAGTCTCTCCTCCAAGAACTCAATGAGGAAGCGAGCACCGTCTTCTGCCACCAGTTGACGGTGATCCAATTCTTGGGTCACTGTCCAAGCTCTGCCTGTAAGCTGAGAAGCTAGTTCAGGGCCAAGGTAGCGTCTCTTCCTTCGCCTTGTGCGTTCGAAGGTCAGGCGAACCCGCCTGATATAATCAGGCCACGTCGAGGGGTCGCCATCCCAAGAGCATTTGATGTGCTCTCCTGGAGAACTTGCCATAGTCCTTCAGGTGAACTTCCTGATACTGCGTCTCCCACGGCAGGTCGTCCGTGGCCAAGTTCTGCGTCTCCCACTGTGAGCCGTCGGTGGCCTTATTCTGCGTCTCCCACCAAGTAGGTCTTGTCCAAGTTGTAGGGCTCGACAAAGAAGGCCAGCAGCAAAGCGCCAGGAAGACCGTCGCCTCAAAGTCAAGGATGTAGCAGCCAGTCACTTCGTCCTTGGATCGAATTCCACCTCCGCTCACTCCGGATGTCCTTCTCTCGTCAGCGAAGGTGCCAGGCAGCTCCGCTACCAGTCACGATGGGTGACTGGCAGCAACAACCCAAAAGCAAAGGATCAGGCACCTCGGCTTTTCCACGTTGCACGCCTAAGTAACTCAGGCAAGGTTCCACGCAGCTATGGCGTAGGCTGTACGAGCAGCACTGCCTTGCTATGCAAGGTTGGCTAAAGGGGTCCCTTGGACCAAAATATGTTGGTGCACATGTATCAATTGACATGCTCACCAACTGACGGCAAAAAGAAATGATGGCTGAAGCTCAAACTCTTACAACAAATGGGATAATTATAAATGAACCATTTGAAAAACACTGATGCGACAACTCATGCAAAAAGGTATGAAATATACCGCAGCTCTTGGGCACTCAGCTATCATGTGGCCGAAGCTGGTGAGTTTATATAATTTGCCCTGGTGGCGCCAATCCCTTGGGTTTGCCCACACCATTCCTACTGTACCCTGTCATGCATGTCCACATCTCATGAATATGTTGCTTGACAAAATCGGTGTTTTGTGGGATTTGGGATTGAAATTTTGGGTGTTGGAATATAATTAGGTTTTAGGGGTTTGTAGTTTAAGGGTTTTGTTTTTTTTGGAACTTGGAATATAGGTTTTTCTTAGGGTCTAGGGTTTATGTAAATCCCCTTTTTCTGCAGTATACAGACAGTGTTCGAGTACAAATGTAGGGGTTGCAGCGGCCATGGTTTATGGTAGATATATCGAGCTAGTTGGATCATTGCCAATCTTAGATACCCTGCAAAAAAATAAAATTCTTCGCTGGTTAGTAGATATTCCCATTGATACCAAAAGACTAAAGGATTAGTTGGTATCCATCTAAGATTCACCTAGGGATGGGTGAACATAAACACACTTATACGAGTGGGGGGGGGGGCTTTTTTTAATCCAAATCGAATTGATTACTGTACGAAAAGAGCTGCTGATAGCATCAATATGGTAAACACAAACATGTGTAAAAAAACACACACAACTGTATTTAGCTTCTTTCCTGTGCTGATTGTCAAAAAATAGTACCCAAAGTCTTGGCAGAGTTATCTTAACCCCCGTTTTTTTTGTTGCATGAGTCTCTGCCCTCCATAGCCCACCTGTATCTAAACGCAAATCCTTTGGCAACGTATCCTGCGGCGAAAATCTGGTGATTCGGATGACCAAAGTCTTAAATGGATTTAAATGGGGTGTTCAAAGAACATCAAAATTAAAGTGTAAAAAAAACATGAAAAACACATATGAAGTCCAAAAATGTGAATTCCAAAATGGGGTGATTTGGATCTATAGCAACCATGGGATTACAGTGGAACCTATAGCCAACACTAGATGTTCCATGGTTTTCCATTCAAGTGCATTGCTGGGGTTTTAGTATACAACCGGGGGTTTTCCAACCTTCCACCCAAAATGTGCCAATCAAAGGTTGGTAACGGGGGAAGCCTCAGATGCTGATACTCCCCAAAAATGGGTGTAGATGGTTGTCGAATCCCAGGAATCCCCTTTTGGTCAACCAACAGGGAAGCAAAATAGACCGAAAAGTGACATAGAATTTTTTACATCTGCGAAACAAACAAACCAGGCATCTGATAGCCTGATAGACAAATTCCGGTTCATTTCGGTTGATTTTGTCCAGGCATACCCCGACAATCAACATGTCCAAGCGTCCACCAGGGGAGGCCAGGAGTTGGATTTTTCCAGCCATCGCAAAGGATCCGTGCCTAAAAATCTCCACGACTCGAGATATGTTCCAAGAAGTTGTGTTTATGTTCTAACTGGATAAAGAGATATAAGGTGATATAAGGATCCCTGATCATTGTTGCTTTAGATTAGGTTTATCACATGTTGAATGTGACATGTACCTAATTAATTCACATGTTTCCACATTTTATCGTGTTGTTTGTCAGTTTCTCATCTTAAGCAGTGGTCAAGTGTTTGTCAACAGAGATTCTCATCATGGCAGAGTAGATTGGCCTTGTGTAATCGAGAAAAAAACACCGACCAATAGGGGTTGAGCAGGCAGTGCTCATTAAAAAATGTTTGGTTATCCTGCCAGATAAACTATTAACCCATTACCTATAACAATTTATACTCTATACCTCCCCATGATGGTTTGTTTTTGCACCCATTTTCAGTCGTTAAATTCACAAAAAGTGTGACATGGCCATCCCCAGGCTCTCCTCCAAAACATTTTCCTGCAAATCAAAGGTGGCTGGCTGGGAAAACCACTGGAAAACACTAGAGTTTTGAATCGGACAATAAATGAAAGTAATCTGTAAATGGCGTTTTTTTCATTGTCATGTTTGATTACTGGAGTTAGCATGAAACAAACACCAAGCAAGGATGATAGATGATGATAGTGTCTTTCAATGTGTCTGTTGAATCCCCTGAAATGGCCAGTGAATTGGGACAAATCATATGACCTAGATGATGGATTGGGGTATCCATATTTTAGAACAAACATATTGATGAATGTGGATCGATGTGGATGCGGGAGACTGGAGGAAAAATCGATGAAGATGGCAAATAATAAACGTTGACAACAAATCAAACATGCAAACATGGCCATCACTAAATCACTTCCTGCAACGAGTGTTTTATGGCGTGAACAAAAGCCAGGAGAGATGAACGACAAAAATGATTCAACCAAAACGATTGGTTGGTGGTTCACCCAGCGCCAGCAAACAATATGCAAACATGTGTTCTAATAATCCCCCATGTATAGCCCGCTAGATGCTTTGCGGCCGACTTTATAGAGAATAGCCTGGTATAAACTGGAATGGCCACGTGTCTGGAGTCTATAAAGTGGAAAGCCAACATGTTTTGTCTATAAAGTCAAAATCCAACGTTTGTATAAAGTCGCCTGGCCGCGTAAAAACATAAAACTCGATGCAGGTTTTTGAGGGTGCTTGTGAACATGTCCCATGACTATAAAGTGAGATGCTGAACATCCAGATAGTAATACTTGTGCAGAACAGTGGCACTATAATGTGGATTTCCGGCTAAACAACGATCGTTGTAGTAGCGATGATTTTCTTAATCGCGACGATGGCAGCATCGACATGATTGTCTATAAAGTTGAGGGGCCACGTTCAAACCTTGGGGGAATATCATCGATCTCATCGATGGGGAACCCAAAAGACTTCGAATGACTTCGAAACCGAACGAAACCGACAGCCAGACAAATATCTATATCGAACTCGTTAACAGAATCTATGGTAAAACCAAATCTATGTTGGACTGGCCACTTTATACCCTCCCCCAACAGAGAATATCTCTAACACACTTTCCTTTGAAAGGGGTCCTTGGGGTGAAAGGGGTCCTGGTCGCGCCGCGCGCGCGGGCGCGCGCGCGCGCCAAAATGGCTCCAATTTTGACACCTTTTTGGCGCGCGCGCGCGCGCGGCGCGCCCAGGACCCCATTCACCCTGAGGAATTTTTCAAGGGAAATCTTCTTCTCTATAAAGTGGCCAGTCCAGGTAAAACCCCTGAAAAAACAGAATCTATGTTGGACTGGCCACTTTATACTCCCTCCCCCAACAGAGAATGCCTCTATAAAGTGGCCAGTCCAGGTAAAACCCCTGAAAAAACAGAATCTATGTTGGACTGGCCACTTTATACCCCCTCCCCCAACAGAGAATGCCTCTATAAAGTGGCCAGTCCAAGTAAACCCCTGAAAAAACAGAATCTATGTTGGACTGGCCACTTTATACCCCCTCCCCCAACAGAGAATGCCTCTATAAAGTGGCCAGTCCAGGTAAAAACCCTGAAAAAACAGAATCTATGTTGGACTGGCCACTTTATACCCCCTCCCCCAACAGAGAATGCCTCTATAAAGTGGCCAGTCCAGGTAAAACCCCTGAAAAAACAGAATCTATGTTGGACTGGCCACTTTATGCCAGTCCAAGTAAAACCCTTGAAAAAACACATTTTTACCTGGAATGGCCACTTTATACCCCCTCCCCCAACAGAGAATGCCTCTATAAAGTGGCCAGTCCAGGTAAAACCCCTGAAAAAACACATTTTTACCTGGAATGGCCACTTTATACCCCAGCCAGTGGGCTCCAGGACTTTGACCCGGAAACGGAAGGGCTGACAACAAGGTAAAGGAGGAAAACTACAACGGAGAGGTACAACGGGAAGGCTACCACAAGAAAATAAGACATGTCACGTTTATATACGTTTATTGTTTTCAATGTGTCATATAGATTGGCGATGATTGGTATATTGAATATGTTGTAGATGTATTTGGAACATATGTATACCTATGATTCACACATCAATTTAAATATATATAAATCATAAACACATGCCAAACCAAAAACTTTTAGCTGAGTATTGTATTCCCAATCTGTTGGCAAATGTCCAGCCGATTCACCATGCGTGACCCAACAAGATTCAAACTATGGATTGTTTAATTTCGAAAAAAAAATTACTGGTTCTTGCAAACAATTTTATAGAGGATGGGCATGGACCGGCCAGTTTATACAGAGGGTGGGGCTGCCAGAAATGACGTGATCAAACCACTTTATAGAGCTGAACTTTCTTGCAAACCATTTTATAGAGGATGGGCATGTGGCCGTGGTTTTGGTCCATAGATGTCCATAGATTTTTAGGATGATTTTGGGAGATTGTCGTCATAGATATACGTAGATTCACCCAGTATTTTTTTTCAAAAATTAAACAATCCATAGTTTGAATCTTGTTGGGTCACGCATGGTGAATCGGCTGGACATTTGCCAACAGATTGGGAATACAATACTCAGCTAAACGTTTTTGGTTTGGCATGTGTTTATGATTTATATATATTTATATTGATGTGTGAATCATAGGTATACATATGTTCCAAAATACATCTACAACATATTCAATATACCAATCATCGCCAATCTATATGACACATTGAAAACAATAAACGTATATAAACGTAACATGTCTCATTTTCTTGTGGTAGCCTTCCCGTTGTACCTCTCCGTTGTAG